CCTGTCCTTGAAATTGTACAGAATAACATTCTGAAGGTCAACTTCCATACAGTTGTTTGAATACCATTTAGGAGTCAGTAGCAGTGAAACTGTAAATTGTTTGAGTTCAGGTCAAAAGGATTTTTTCATCAGTTCATTCCTATTTACAGCATACCTACTTGATCCAGCCATTTCCATAGATAATTCTCTGAAAAAATTAGATCTGGAGGTCGATGTCGAAAACACTGTAAATTTTTTGAAATTGGGTATACAAGGTGATTCTAAAATAGGTGGTCAAACTTTGGGAGTATATAGAATGAGTGAAATAATTACGAAAACCTCGGTAACATTTTTCTCTGAAGTGCCACCCAAGAAAGATACAGCCCCTCAAAGGGGGGCCTCGAAGAATGATTTTGTATTATTATCTCCAACACCTTGTATGATGAAAATCTAAAATTTTGTCTATCCACTAACTATTCAGTGCCGATCCGAATGGAGTTGAAATCACCCCAAAATTAAATACAGGGGTGTGTCAAAATAGGGAGGTTGGGAGTAAAAATAACCCCAACTTTTTTGTTCATCGCAATTTCAGTTTTTTCACATGAAATTATGAAATCTCAGGACTATTTACATAGAAAAGGAGCTCTTGTTGAATCTCGATAAAATGTACCATTAGCGAATAAAATTTATTTTTCCAAGATTTCATTTAAATTGCAATTTTGGTATGCACTCAAGTTTAATTATCTAGTTCAAATCTTGCAACTGCATTTTTACCTACTTCTAATCGTCTGATCAACTTGGAATCTGGCACATGACAGTTGACGACGCGTTATGGACTTTTTGATAGAAAAAAATATGGCGGCTCCAATGAGGCTGACCAGATTTGTGATTATGGTCCGATTCGATTCAAAATTGTTTTGTAAGGATTTTTGGGGTTGGAAATTTTGAATACGTTGTCGGAATACATGAATCAAAAATAAACGACAAGTTTCGTGATTATGGTCTGATCCTATTGAAAATACTAAAATGAAAAATATTGTTGAAAACAAGCTCTTATTATTTTAACTATTGAAATAAAAAATTGAAGATGAAATAAGGTGAAAAATGAGAAAGAAATGCTTCTAGATATCTTCTTCCACTTCCAAATGCTTCAGGAATGAAAGAAGATTTCTTCAGATATGTAAGCTTTCGAATACCTTACTCACAGAATAACTTACGTGAGATATCCAAAAGCATTTTTCTCTCATTTTCAGAGCATTTGAATAAAGGCTTCTTTTTTCACCTTATTTCATCATTAATTTTTTATTTCGATAGTCAAAGTAATGAAAGCTTGTTTTCAACAATATTTTTCATTTAATTTTTAATAGGATCAGTCCATAATAACAAAACTCATCGGCCATTTTGATTTCATGAATTCCGACAACGAATTCTAAATTTCCAACCCCAAAAACCCTCACATACCAATTTTGAATCGAATCGAACCATAATCAAAAATCTGGTCAGCCACATTGGAGCCGCCATAACGCATTGTCAACTGTCATCTGCCAGATTCCAGGTTGATCAGACGATTAGGAGTAGGTGAAAATTCAACTGCGAGATTTGACCTAGATAATTAAACTTAAGTATATACCAAAATCGCAATTTAAATGAAATCTTGGAAAAATAAATTTTATTAGCTAATAGTTCATTGAATCGAGATGCAACAAGAGCACCTTTTTTATGTAAATAGCCCTGAGATTTGATAATTTCATGTCAAAAAACTGAAATTGCGATGAACAAAAAAGTTAGGATTATTTTTACCCCCTATCTCTCTATTTTGATACACCCCTGTATTTAATTTCAAGGTGATTCTGACTCCATTCGAAGTGGCACTGAATAGTAAGTAGATGGACAAAATTTCAGATTCTCATTATACAAGGTGTTGGAGATAATGATACAAAATCATTCTCCGAGGCCCCCCTTTGAGGGGCTGTATCGTTCTTGGGGGTCACTTCAGAAAAAAATGTTGCGGAGGTTTTCGTAACTATTTCACCCACTCTATATGCTTCCAAAGTTTGACCACTTATTTTAGAATCACCTTGTATTAGATTTTTCCGTTACTTCAGTCCAATCTACAACATACCAGACATTCAGCCATTGTCAGAGATGTTTTTTTAATTACATTCGGAGGTCAATATCGAGAACTGTCAATTTCTGGAGGTTAGGTCAATTGGATTTTTTCATCAGTTCATTCCTATTTACAACATGTCAAAAATCCAACCATTTTCGGATACTTTTTTTATATCGAAAAAATGACATTTAGAGGGGAATGTCGGAGAAACTGTCCATTTTTTGAAGTAAGTTCAATGGAATATCTGTTCAGTATATATCAAAGTCTGCAACATACCAAAAATTCAGCGATTTTCATCGAGAGCCATTTTCTTTATAGTTTAGTGCGGCGTCCTTTCTAATATCAGAGGGTGACTGTCTCAATCATCAGATGAATCCTGCAACTATCCTAATTGATACATTCTCATGCATAATTCCAGACTAAATAAACATTTTCGTATATTTTGCACGTTTGGCACTATCTAGTCCACGCCCAGAATCGTATCTATGCACTCAATCCAAGGGCATCGTCTCGTGCAGCCAATTCCTGCCGCCTCCCTCAGCGAAAACTGCCGCAGCGTGGTCCACCTCATCCAGAACTCACTTGGTGGAGAGTAGCCCCTCTACCCCTACGGGGAATTTTGTATACGACGTCCAAAGAAACTCGAAAGAATATGTCGCCATGGTAACTCTAGACGTCAAAAATGCTTTCAACTCGGCACCGTGGACTGGAATTGTCAGCGAATTGAAGAGAAGGAATATTTCCCACTATCTGACGAAGATAATCTGCAGCTATCTGGAAGAAAGAACGATACTGGTAGGCGAAAACCAAGAAATGACTATGACATGCGGAGTCCCACAAGGATCGGTTCTTGGACCGACGTTGTGGAATTTATACTACGACGACGTTCTGAGGATTGAAACGCCGAATGGAGTGTCGATCATTGGATATGCTGACGATCTCGCGCTGGTAGTACGTGGAAAAGACGGAGAGGACATCGGGGAACGTATAGAATGGACAATTGGGAGGATTGGAATCTGGATGGCTGAGAGAGGACTGGAACTGGCACCTCGAAAAACCGAAGGCGTGATATTAATCGGCAGAAGGACCTTGAAACAAATCAAAATCAGAACTGGAATTCTGGAAATTGACTCAGTAAAGTCCCTGAGGTACCTGGGCTTGCAGATAGGACACAACATGAGTATGAGTCAACACATCAAGGAAGTGGTGAAAAAATCAGAGAGAGCGGCAGCTGCACTATGCCGACTTATGCCCAATATCGGTGGACCTAAAGCAGGGAGAAGGAGGATCCTCAGCAGCGTAATCAACTATATCATTCTGTATGGAGCACCTGCATGGAAGGATTGGGTTGAGAAAGCAAAATACAGCAGGTTGATCGAAAGCGCACAAAGAAAGGCCGCAACAAGAATAGCAAGCGCATACAGAACAGTGTCAACAAAAGCGTTACAAGTGATTGCGGGAACCATACCAATACACCAACTGATCACCGAACGGACATATGAGAAGGATGAAAACAAGAGAGCACAGAAAGCAAGGAAACGGGAAACGACCATGGCGAATTGGCAACAAGAACGGGAACAGGAAACCAGAACCGCTCAATGGACCAAGAGCCTAATACCGCAACTCGAACCCTGGCTGGATCGAAAACATGGGGAGGTGGGGTACTATCTGACGCAGTTTCTATCTGGGCATGGACGTTTCAGATCTTACCTACTGCGCCTAAAGATAACAGACAGCGGTGAATGCACATATTGTGGAGAACAGGATACACCGGAGCACACAGTATTGGTCTGTACAAGATGGAACGAGGAAAGACAAAGGGCAGAAACAACAATTGGAGAGCGGATGACAACACAGAACATAATGACGCACATGCTGGAGAGTGAAATCAAATGGGAAGCCATAGCAAATATGATCACCGAAATACTGAGAGAAAAAGAGAAGGATGAGAGAAGAGGAACCTGAAAAGAAAAGAATAGGTCGTGGTGAAGTAATACCGAGAGGTAGTTCCACTGCGAATCTAGGCACGAGAGGAAGGGTTTTAGTCAGTAAGAGTCTGACACAACCCATACACCCAGGCGTATGGGAGCCCATGAGGGTTTCTCCTCCTCTCTCTCAAAAAAAAAAAAAACCCTACGGGGACTCTATCGTGAACACCCACCTCGGCCTCTAGACTGAACAGAAAGCCGTCCTCACCCTTTCCCCTTGTGTTTCTTTTTTCTTTCTGTTTCCTTTGTTTCATTACCTTCAGTTGAGGAAAAAATTCTTTACATTACAACCTGTCATCTTGCAATACTATTCTGCCCTAATCAATTTCAAAGAGACTCTTTGTTTTTGTTTCGGTACCTATTTCTCGTATTGCAATAATCAATAACTCATTCCAATAAAAAATGATCTTTGTTCTAAGAATAATCTGGTTTATTTCCAAAAATTAAATTAAATTTACAAACATTAATACCTACTTAATATTTACAAATATTTTACATCCCTCGGTGATTTTGGTCTTATATATCCTACTAAAATTATTTGTGTATAAGTATAGTGAACTAAGGTATATTCAACTCATTATAGTAGATATGTATTAGACTTATGAGTTATATTTTGGAAAATTTCAAGTTTGACTCCGCTTTCCCAATATTATTCAGAACCTACCTCATTTCGACAAATATTTTCCAGTGTGATTCTTCAACTTCGTAGAAGTTACCATAAGTAGTTTCAAAGTCATGTTTCGCTCGTTATATAGACCATAATGATAAGATGTACCTAATTTCTAATATCAGGGTGACTGTTTCAATCATCAAATGAATCCTGCAACTATCCTAATTGATACATTTCCAAGAATAATTTCAGACTGTATATTTGGTGTACGTTTCACACTATATTGTCCACGCCCAGAATCGTCTCTTTGCACTCAATCCAAGGGCAGCGTCTCGTGCAGCCAGTTCCTGCCGCCTCCCTCAGCGAAATCGGCCGCAGCATGGTCCACCCCATCCAGAACCCACTTGGTGGTCAGTAGCCCCTCTACCCCTACAGGGCCCCTGGCGTGGATGCGCGCCGTGCTGATACCCACCTCGGCCCCCAGGCCGAATCGGAAGCCGTCGGCGAATCGGGAACTGGCGTTGTGGAACACGCATGCGCTGTCGACGCGTTTCTGGAAGCTCGACGCGATCTCTCCTGGGGAAAGAAATGGGAATCATTAGCTAGATGTCATGACCTAACAAGTACATTTGAGCGCAGTTCGGCAAGATTATCTACTACAACGCTACTACTAAAACTCGAATGATGCGGCGTTCACAACCAAACTTCTTACGTTCTGTTTTTTACGTTTCGTATTCTGATTGGTGAAGCAGAATCTGAAATTAAACGGGAATTAAACTCATGCAAATGTCATTCACAACAAACAGAAATCGACGTGACTTTCTACAGCTTTTCTCCGTTGTCTTGAATTTGTGTAAGTTTTTTCATTTGTGTTTCATCCTGTAATGGAATGGAATGATAACAATAATATTGATTAGATAATTAATAATATTCATTGAACGGTCGGTGACGTGAATTGATCCTCATTCAGTACTTGAAGAGAAAAATCAATCCTCACCCAGATAGCACAAATTCCTTTTGAGGCCCTTCTGAGGCGTTCACAATCATGTCCTCAGGACGTCGAGAGCGAGCCTGAGGACATTCTCAAGACGTCCTCCTGTTACCATTCTCTACATACTAATAACGTCTCAGAACATCCCTATAAAATCTTTTGAGACAACCTCAGGATATCATGGTAACAACTTGAGGCGGTTTTTGATGATGTTTCAAGGAGGTTCAAGATTTATGGGAGAATATTATTCGTATACAGAATGAATCACTATATAGTGTGTTCTCCTCCGATATTAGCCAAACCGTCAGATATATAAAATGAAGATTCAAGTACAACAGTAATAGGGTTTCATAAAAACAATCACCTAAAGTTGTTTTCATTTCTATAGGGTGTTCGAATTCCAAGATATCGGTTGATGATTGGTTTTTTTCAATGGAACACCTTGTATATTATTGCATTTTTGAGTTTTCCCTGAAGAGTTGATTCCATCAATGCATCACACTTGGTGTCTAGTGGGAATTATTACAGAGATATTGGGTGTTGACAATTGAGATTCTTCAAATGTAGGATTTTTTGTGTCGAAACTATTCATTAATGGTCAAAACGGCTCACATGTTCCTGTCATAACTTTTGATTAGCTATCTACTGATATTTATTTGGAACAGATACAATAAGCTGATGAATGTTAACACACCCTCTATTTGTTCCGATTGAATGTCAGTAGATAGTAAATCGAAAGTTCATAAGGATATGTGAGCCGTTTTGACCAATATTGAATAGTTTCCACAAAAAAAAATCCTAAAATTGAAAAATTCTTTTTTTTGAACACCCTATATCTCTGTAATCATTCCCGCTAGACCCCAAGTGTGATACATTGATGGAATCAGCTCTTCAGGAAAAACCTAAAAAAGCAATAGTATACAGGGTGTCCCATTTGGAAAAAAACAATCATCGGTCAATATATCTTGGAATTCGAACACCCTACAGATATATATGAAAACAATTTAATGTGAAAGTTCTCATGAAACCCTATCACTGTTGTACTTGAATTTTCTCTATTTATTTGCTAGTTTGGCTCATATACAAGGATAACACACTATTGACTCACCTTGTTTTATGCAAATGATAATTTCTTCAAAATAATATGGATCTCATGATATTTGCAAAATTTCCCTCTATTTATAATAGGTTCAAATGAAAAACCAAATGAAAAACTTACATTCTATTATTTATAACTCATTCTGAAAAATTTCAATTTCCTTTTCAAAGAAATATATTTCAGCTTCTTGTTGAGCACTACTAGAAGTTATTGCCTATTGATAGTTATATTTCTCCATGTTGTTTTTGATTTCTGAACTCTGGACATTCCTGATGCAGAATAATCAACTGGAAGTTGAAGCCTTCATGCAATATTTTATAGATTCTGAAGAAGCAAAACTATCTTGGAATGAAAATATCATCAGGTTTGTGTTTTGCATAACCTTCTGGAACAAACAATGTATTAATATTTCATGTCCAGTACTCACTATCAATGATATAATTTATGTAGTTATAGGTACCAACCATTATTGAATCTACTGAAAGTTCAAGTCTGCATATGTACAATCTTTCATAATTTCCAAAGAAGCCAAAATATCTTGGAATAAAATATTCCTGCTCTGATGATATCATCATTTTGTGTTATCAATAACCTCCTGAAACAAATAATGTACCTATTAATATTTCATGTTCCAGTCTCTATACTATATCAATGATTTGATTCAGGTACCTACCTTTATTGAATATACTGAAAGTGCAAACATGCATATGCAATATCTCACATAGATTTTGAAGAAGCCAAAATATCTTGGAATGAAACATCTTTGCTCTGATGACATCATCAATCTTGTGTTCTCAATAACTTCATCTGAAACAAATAATTAACCTATTAACATTTCATGTCCATTACCTACTATATCAATGATTTGATTCAGGTACCTACCTTTATTGAATTCATACTGAAAGTTCAAGCTTCCATACAATATTTTATAGATTCCGAAGAAGCAAAGCTATCTTGGAATAAAACATGTTTGCTATGATGATATCATCAAGTTTGTGTTCTCAATAACCTCCTGAAACAATTAATAATGTATATGAATGTATCAATATATCTCAGGTACTATCAATGATTCTATTTAGTATTTACTCACCATTGTTTCTTGCTACCTGAGAGAAATGCCATCAACAGAGATTATCATCCTTTTGTTATTGTTATCTTTTAATTCTGTGCAATAAGTTCTTGTCGCAATCATTTTGTGAAATAGAAATTTGATGAAGGTATTCAATGAATACTCTAATAATTTTGATATAATCATTAATATATTACGATGTATCTTGAACAAATCATGACTATCATGAGACATAACCCCAATTCTAGTTCTTCTTTTTCTTCCTTTTGTCTTCGATGACACGTATTTCATGGAATGTCATCTGAAGACGTCCGTAGGCACGAAATTCTTTACATCCTCAGGCTGTCACTGAAAGAACTCATTTAGGACAATTACAGCGCCAAATTTACGCCTGATGATGTTTTTAGGTTGTAGAAAATAGAACGTCCTCTCCAGGCGTTTGGCGACACATTGAGGATGACCTTAGGCGAGTGTGTGCTATCTGGGCAAGGAGGAGACAATATATTGAACAGTATACCTATCTACTATTCCGTTGTTTCACAAAAAAAATCGTAAGCAAAAACATCATCATAACTTCCATGTAGGATGTTCCATACATGAATTGTTCTATTCGACATACATACAGTAGTAGTATATTCCATTTTTATAACAATATCATTTTTCTATTTTTACTATTTCCACAGACGATAGCTTCTCGCAATGGAATAAGCTAAATATTCTCAGCTCTTTGCGTCATCAATTTTAGATTTTGCTCAAGAGGTGTTTCATTGAAATTCAACTATTCTTATCTGAAAAATAGGAGTATGGCAAAATATGTTCGGACGCTCATACGGTGCAGTATGGTGTTCTCCAGGGTTCTGCACTTGAACCCTTATCCTTCATACTGTATTTCAACAATCTACCCATTAATCTAGATCAAACTGTGAAACCATGCTGATGATGCAACACACATAGCCACTGGCAAAACAAAGCAAGAAACATTTGTCGATCTACAAAAGTCTGAAAATCATCTCCATAGATTGGTTTCGCACCATCTGCCTGACTCAATGAAATGAAAAATCAAAATATAGTGTTCTCACAACAAATAATAATCTCAGTGAACCAGTTATGCTCTTACCCAGTTAACCAGTGTTGGTTGCAGGGGAGTTGTAGGGAATTATTATTGGGGAAATACGACTTCGTACTGTTGATTTAAAAAAGATGCATCCGTTATTGGCGATTGCCTAATGTCCGCAACATCCATACATTGCCAATGAGTTGTCAGTACATCACATTATAGATTTATTCTGTGGGACCATAGAAAGCAACCACGCAACTTCTGCTTGTGGAATAATTAACTTGAAAGTCAACAAAACACTGATGCGAGAGAATTTGAACTCCGAGTGAAACTCTCTATGGTATGAGTATTATGATATGATATAATTGGTTGATAATAATATATTTGAATATTGAATGCCTGGTTGCATTACTTTGAATGTTTGTTTATAACTCCCTCAGCCATCAATATTGATCTATTATGAGATGTGAATCTCAAATAATATCACAACGGTAAGTCGCTTGAGTTCAAATCATAATATGTAACGCAACGTTATAGCATTTCGCTAACGGAAGATATAAAATATGAAAGTTGAAAGAATGATAGATATGACAGCCGTTATTAGTTGTTCACAGGGTACAAAAGATAATCATTAAGGCTTGCACTTCATACATATACTCATCATATGATCAGTAATCGATACAGATCATTCTAGCACTTGGCAGCTAAACAATATATTCTCCTTTTCCATTTTCGTCTGTTCATAATAAAAATAATCGCGTCATTCATCTCCAAGTTCTTATATCACGTCCTTCACTAGGTGACTGTGGAACAAAAAGAAAATAACCGACAGCTTTCTGACGTGTCCATTCGAGATGGGTCGTCATTTTGACAACCTGATATCGCAATATTCATGGAAAATTCGGAAAACCTCTCTAATCGATATATTCCAAGAATATTCTTTGAAGATATCAGATTGAGCTCATCTCCATGAAATATTCTCTTGATATGACAATATTTATTGCCAGGAGGAATATGAAGTATCGTCTGGCAGTATAATAGGGGTCTTATTTCTGAATAGAGGAAATTCAAATCCGCCGAGAGAACAGTGGGCGTGTCCCTCACTTTAGTAACAAATTATTCTCTTCCCCGCTGCTTCTCTTTATAGATATCGAGAGAAACAAGTCGTTAATCTATGCAAGTACTCTGCTGTTTCGTCTTCTCTCATAATCCACCAGAAAGCACTAGAGGTGACATTGTAAATATTTTTTTCTGCAAGCGTGCGTGATTCACCCTATACCCGCACGCAATTTAGTTTGGGAAGTGTCATTTTCCCGCAACAGTACGGGAAAATTTTCCCACACTAGTGCGGGAAAGTTTTTCCCGCACTAGTGCGGGAAAACAAAGATATGATATAATCGCTAGTAATATAAGTAGTTGGTGATGGAATATAGAAGTTTAACATTGTTTGTTGCAGTATTAAGTTTGTATGTCCAGAATCATCCATCAAATTGCACTATTTATTGTGAAAATCAAGAAATATTGAGAAATAAAAATGGATTATTATAAAAATCCCCCTATAGATTTGGATTGATCTGACGGCAAACGTCAATTTGTCATGTCAATCAAACCTCCAATAAGTTTGAAATTGTCGAAGTGACAGACACAGCGTTACTGTCATTTTCGATTCAGTGGAAATGCCACAATGTGATCAAAAACTTCTAGCTATAGGGATTTGATACAGATGCGTTAATATCACCAACGAAGTCTTAAGAAAGGTATGAGAAGCTATACACGCGTTTAATTGAATGGTGCAACAATAAAGACATGAAAAAACCGAATGAAGAATAGGTATTTTTGGCTCATTCCATAGAAGTGTCTGGAACCTAGAGACCAAACTCCTAATGGGCCTGCTGGCTTCCGCAATGAACCAACATAAGTCGTCAAACTGTAAGTTCACATGCAATAGCTATTACTAAAAATTAATAGATAGAGAATATATATCTCTTGTTAGTTGTTCCTATTTGCTTGAATAATTAATTGAACGATATAATCAATTTCCTACGCTTGTAGAAAAAATATTGTTCCTAACTCATGCGGAAAGTGTCTTTCCCGCACTCGACTGCTTGCCCGAACTCCGCTTCGCGTCGTTCGTGTCAACGGCAGTCACGTGCGGGAAAGAATCACTTTCCGCACTTGTTAGGAAAATTACTATTTTCTACAAGCGTGCGTGATTGACAGTATACCCGCACGCAATTTAGTTTGAGAAGTGTCATTTTTCCGCAACATTACGGAAAAAATTTCCCCACACTAGTGCGGGAAATCTTTTCCAGCAATAGTGCGGGAAAAACAAAGATATGATGATATGGCAAAATATAAGTGGTAGGTGATGGAATATGAGAGTTTGGGTTTGTTTGTGGCAGTATTGAGTATGTATGTATATTCAGAATCATCCATCGAATTGTATTATTAATTGTGAAAATTAAGAAATATTGAAAAATAAAAATTGATTATTATAAAAATCCACCTATATCCTATATATTGATCTGATGGATAACGATATTGGCTATTTTCCGAATTCAACTGGTCAGTACTGTCAGTAGATCCACTGAATCTGCTGAAAATCTGTGTTCCGAAATATAAAATCAAAAATATAGTGCTGTAATTCGGGACACGTTTTCATGGTTTTCATCAGTAGTTAGCAGCAGTTGATCAGCTGGTGAAATTTGTCAGTCTGTAGTTTCTCGTTTATCTGGAGAATTCCGGACTAAATATTTAATATTTAATATTTAACATGGAAGAGCATTCGATTCTTGTAGCCTCCATAGTTTCTACGATTATTGACGATGACGATTCAGATTCAGGCTCGAGTGATAAAGAATACTTGGACATATTGTTGCCATTAATTTCGAATGGTGCACGAGATTGAGAATTGAAAGATTTATAGAAAACGTAATGATGATGAATTAAGGAGACATTTTAGGTTTATTAAGGTATTTATTTATCCAATGCTGCTTATTCTTTCGTTACCTCTACTACTTCATACTCAATATTATTCTCAGTGCATATCATATCAATAACAGGTATTTTCTGATATTGAGAATAATATATTATTAACAACGAAAATGAATGTTACATTCCTTCCTCCTTTAAAATAATGACAGTTCACTGAAGCCACACTACCTTCCGATAGTCAGCAATTTCAGCAGAATGTTGAGTCAAAATATCTGGAATGAATAGTATGTCTGCTCACAAGCATCTGTCATTTTCAGTGAATTTTTTGATTTCGGAATGAAAAATCAGCAGATTCAGTACTGTCAGTTGAATTCGGAATATAGCCATTGTTGTCATGCCAATCAAACCTCAAATGAGTTCGTAATTGTGGAAGTGACAGACACAGCGTTACTGTCATTTTTGATTCAGTGGAATTGCCACAATGTGATCAAAAACTTCTAGCTATAGGGATGCGATACAGATGTGTTATTGCCAACGAAGTCTTGAGAAATGTATGAGAAGCTATACACGCGTTTTATTGAATGGTGCAACAATAAAGAAATGAAAATACCGAATGAAGAAGAAGTATTTTTGGCTCATTTCCTAGAAGTGTCTGAAACCTAGAGACCATACACCTTATGGGCCTGCTGGCTCCCGCAATGAACCTATACACAATGCGTCAAACTATAAGTTCACAATAGCTATTACTAATAATCAGTAGATAGAGAATATATTTGTTATATTTTGTTGTTAGTTGTTCCTATATACGAATGAATAATTGATTGAACTTATCAATCAATTTCCTACGGTTGTAGAAATTTTTTTTAAATTTTTTAGAACTCGACTGCTCACCGTCAACGGCAGTCGCATGCGGGAAAGAATCACTTTCCCCACTTGTTACGAAAATTACTATATACCAAGCATTCCCTCGCCGAGGAAATCGTTCTCTCGATTCAAAAATTAGGCTCCTGATAGGAACACAGCGGTGAACATGATGAAAACGACTCACTGTTCTCGGTGACGATGACGTCAGTGTGTCCACTGCCGAACGCGTGGATGTGGTTGATGGCTTCGTCCACGTTCTTCACTATCTCGATGCAGCACTCCAGAGAGCCGTACTCTAGCTTCATCGTTTTGGCGGGCGGGGGCCCGAAAGTGAGCAGTCGGTTGAGAGCCGGTCCTGCGTTGATCGTGACGCCCTCTTTCTTCATCATGTTGCACACGTCCGAGAAGAAGTCGCCTGCAACATAATGTTCATTTATTTATTTATTTATTAATAATACATCTAAACAGATTGAAAATCCACTTACTGGAGTATATAACAATGAGTTTTGTGATAATATCGCTGTGCAAATGTTCACTACTTAATAATTAATTCGAAGTTTGTAGAAACAGAATTTTTTTAAATTGTGCTAGCGAAACGGAAAAAATGTCTACGTTTTCTAACTTATTTAACTGTCTACATATATTAAGCAAAGGACTATGAAAATGATGGAAGGAATTTGGTACATCTATATGAAAAGTTATGTTCGATCTCGAAGTAATTCGCGGTACATAGAAATTAATCAATGATAGTAATTCTGATGAGTCGATGAGATTGTGGACGATTTTGTAAAGGAATGTAAGGTCGGAGATCTCTCTACGCTTCCTCAAAGTTGTCAGCTTGAATTCGTCTGATAGTAGCTGGTGATCATAATGAAGTACTGGGTATGTTCCGTGTTTTTTAAAATATAGGAACTTTAGAAACTTATGCTGAATTTTCTCTATTGAGTCGATATATTTTTTCTGGTATGGATTCCAAACAGTGCTGCAGTATTCAAGTTTAGAACGTACTATAGAAAAATAAACAGCTTTCATTGTTTCAATACAAGAAAATTCTTTGCTGTTGCGAATAACGAAGCCTAAGATCCGAGCAGACTTTGATGTAATATTTTCTATATGTGGTGCAAATGTCAATTTCTTGTCGAAAATTACTCCCAGATCCTTACATTCATTTACCCGATCAATAATGATATTATTCAACAAATAATTGTGTTCCACCGGCGACAAAATTCTTGCATAACTTTGCATTTGTTTACGTTAAGTGGTAAATTGTTAGAGGTGCACCATTCAGTCAAAGTGTCGAGATCGTTTTGCAGAATATTGACATCGTGATTATTACGTATGATTTTAAATATTTTCAAATCATCAGCAAAGAGTAGTTTGTCAGAGCTAATTGAGTTACAGATATCGTTGACGAATAACAAAAACAATAGAGGTCCAAGGTTTGAACCTTGAGGAACCCCGGACGTTGCCACAAAATTGAAACTTCATTCTCCCTCATATTCAACATGCAGTTGCCTATTTGAAAGATATGATTTCAAGGTATTCTGAACTCTTGTGGAAAACCCATAATCTGAAAGTTTTTGTAGGAGGTGTTGATGGGATACTTTATCAAATGCCTTACTGAAATCAGTGTATACCACATCGACCTGTACTTTATTATCCAAGGCATCTGACACAAACTGAGTAAACGTGCATAAGTTTGAGGTCGTTCCACGTTTTTTAACAAACCCGTGTTGAAATTCGGACAATGTTGTTCTTACATGTTCATATATGACGTCTGCTAAAATGATTTCAATAAGTTTAGAAAAAACAGATATCAGAGCTATTGGTCTGTAATTTGTTATGTCCGATACACTACCATTTTTGTGAATGGGGCATACTCGTGAAATTTTCCAGATGTCTGGGAAAGTCGAATGCTTGAATATAAGATTATAAATTATATACAAGGGACGAAGGAAGCAGTCGATGTTTTTCTTCACAATTTTAACAGGCACGTTGTCAGGGCCGCATGTTAGATTGTTTTTAAGTTTCTTGGAAGCAATGATTATTATAATGTTGTTCCTGGGTCAAAATTTCGCGTAAAATAGTTCGTTTGAAGAAGGTGACCGATTAGAATAACGAAATAGACGTGAGAAGCCTGACATTCACAGTATTAAAAGCTGTGTTTAAGTAACATTGCTAGTATCACCAGTGGGACAGAATAGCCGTTTTATTGACTATTCTGTGGAATTTCTCCTCATCCTGGTGCCACTGGCCATTCGGTTTCAGAACATCGAATTTGTGGTGGAATGTCTGAAATGTTTGGAAAAAAAAGGGTATTTGACATACATCATATTAATTTTGTTGTTATAAAAACTTTAGTGAAAAATAGTAGATACAGAATAAGAATTAGGTAGATAATTCTACTGATTGAAAAGATGAGCCAACAAAAGAGGAAAAATGTGCATATAACTTATGAAAACATTCAGGAGTCATCCTGAGATAGCGCTAGAAGCTCTTCGAATTTTGGTATAACAATCTCATGAAAATTTCCACTTCCACTTTCCAGCAAATTACGATTTATGATTTCTGAAATATCGGCCATCATATTCCACCATTGGGCTATGTGATTCTCCTCATGAATCATTCTGTATAGTCTCGTTATTATGACTTTCAAAAACTCAATAGAAGAAGTATCAGTGAGTAGAATATCAAGAATGGTTATAGATATATTACCTTCCATGAGATCTTGATGAATCAGAAGAGTTTCCATGGCGTTGCAGGCTGCTGGATAATCACACTTTGAGTCGCGGATGATTTTCAAGGCCTTCTGCAAGTCTGCATCCTTGTCAACGTAAACGTGGCAAATACCTGTGAATTGAAACATACAGAAATTAAATGAATTCTGCAGCGTTCAAAGATACCTATAGTTATCCTCTTCTTGGAAATATTAGTGGGATGCAGTCTGGACCAATGAATCAATTAGATTTCTTCGTTATTTGTCGAGCTTTCGAAAATTTTTATTTTCTTTATCAAGACTAAAAACATGAAATTCTATATAAAATTAGCACAAAAAGGAAACATAGGTGTATAAATAAAAAATATTTTTTATTTATACACCTATGTTTCCTTTTTGTGCTAATTTTATATAGAATTTCATGTTTTTAGTCTTGATAAAGAAAATAAAAATTTTCGAAAGCTTGACAGATAACGAAGAAATCTAATTGATTCATTGGTCCAGACTGCATCCCACTAATATTTCCAAGAATATTATTATAGAACAGTCACGAAAGCTTCCCCTTGTTATCCTCTTCTGCGTTTGTCAGAAGTGCATGGAACTACCCTAATAACACAAAGCTATTCAATGGATGTCCATTGGATAGACGTTCATGGACATGCTGGATGTACATTGGATGGCTCAAAATGTCCAGCTTCTATCCAATGGACATCCATTGTAAATCCAGAGGCCACAAGTTTGGATGTCCATTGGATGTACATCATGTACATCTACTGTACAACTACTGTACATGAATTGTATAACTATTGGACATAAATTGGCTAACTGTTGGACATGAATTGTACACCTATTGAACATAAATTTAACAAATATTGGACATGAATTGTACAACTACTGGAAATGAATTGGACAGCTACAGTACACCTATTGTACAAATATTGTACATGAATTATACATTTTATGTATAAGTTTTGGGCAATATAAATAACACTCTCGCCCTATGAATTTTGAATATATTTTTTCTTCTATAATGTTGTCCCAAGAGTCTAAAGTAGGTAGAGCTGTTTTAGCCCTGCTATGATCCATTTACATATAGTATTCACTTGTACAGCTTAAATGGTTGATTCATACAACGTTCATTATTCAATCACAATTTCACTTAATTTGGTTAATTGAGAGAAATAAATCACTATTGAATATTTCGAATATATAGGTAACGATGGATGATTTCTTCGAAAATAATAAATGAGAGATCACACACACACACACACACTTTTCATAAAATAATATGTGAACAAGTTGAAAAAGTAATCATTACACATAACCTCAAATTAACCTCGAATAATTAGTTCACAAATATATTGCTGCATGAATCTGCCCCAAAGATACAAACTTCTGCATACAATAACAGTAAACACCAACGACTCAAGGGACGACTCGAATAATTAGTTCACTAATATATGCTTCATGAATCTGCCTCAAACGATACAAACTTCTGCATACAATAACAGTAAACACGAACGACTCAAAAGGTACGGAATACATGACGAACAGAGACAATAGAGAACACGAAACAAAGATGGCGATGGCATTTACATTCTCTCAGGCCAATAGATACATTATGGATATCCATTGGAAAGGTATCATTAGTAATCCATTGGATGAGAATTTATGTTTATCCAATGGATGTACAATTCATGTCCATCAATATCCGGAACTTTTTTGGATATCCTTTGGAATAGTGTCGATGGTATTCCATTGGATAGGCATTTTGCTACATCCAATGGATGTACATTTCTTGTCCATGGATATCCGAAACTTTTTTGGACCTAAAATGGATATCCATTGGATGGCCTGTGTTATTAGGGTAAAAGTTGACGAAGCTCAAGAACAACTTGACAACATCATTGGAGCCACCATCAGGTATGAATGAAGCGTTACTCCAGGTGTGTATTGTATACTTACAGGTATAAATAGTTTTGCAAAACCCATATGGTCTTATACGATTCTCATTTGTTCTGATTCTGAATTAAAATAGATGTGTGGCATTTTATAAGACTTCAGTCGTACAAACTCGTCAAACACACTGACACTGACACGAACACATGACAGAACAACGAAACAGATGGAACAATCTTGTTTTCATAATCAAAGTCTCATAAAATGCCATGAATCTATTCAAATTTGAGATAAAAACAAATTAGAATGGTATCAGAACATATTGGTTTTTTCAAATTATTTTTAGTTATACAATACACACCTGGAGTTTAGTGCGTTCTTCCCGACTCACCCTGTAGATCTTTTGGATGTATCTATGCCGAAGCATATGCTACTGAGAGGAGGGTCACTTACCTTCTGCATGTCCCATAACTGGAATGTGTTTACTTTGATCTTGAATACTGCGAACAAGTTCACCGCTACCTCGTGGTATGATCAGATCTATGTGTTGCTCCATGGATAACAGATCGCCAATTTCTTCTCTAGTCGATACCTGAAGTTATCGAATAACAAAGGAATGAGACAGGAAGAAAGTAATGCTCGAAGTCATTCCCACAAATTTTAAAGATGTTGTTACATAATCATAAGGGAAATGTTTCGGTCTGTATAAGAATTTGTTTTGAATCTTTTCATCGAAATTATGAAATAAATAAGAGAGGACTGATGTGTAGGTAATACTATATGATGAAGTCTGGTAGAGCGCGGAGGCCTGGATTATATAGTTGAACGATTTCAATATACCATACAAAGGGCCGATGTTCAGACGACGTCGTGAAATGGCATCACGCGATTTGATACTACTGGTCCAGTGCTGGCTGGATTATGGATAAACGATCACAATATATCATATAATGGGCCGAAGTTCGCCCGTTGCAGCTCAGCCGTTACCAGAACTCTGCCATTGGGCCAGACGGCGGCCAGAGATTCGATGTTTGCTGGGCACTTACCAAAGAAATGGCATTCGTAGCCCCAATAGTAGCTAGAGATTCCTTCACCAGTTCCATCAAAGCTTTGTTGCTGTGCGCGGCTTCTTTTCCACCCTTGAGCAGGAGACCGTTACCTGAGGCGATCGCCAGAGCCGCCACTTGAGGCAGCGAATCGGGCCTTGATTCGAAAATCACCATCAGCACCCCGATGGGGACGGTTATTTGTTTCAGTTCCAGACCGTCTGCTAGTCTCGTCTTTCTCAAAACCTGTAAGATAGAGAGATAGTGTTTTCAAATGAACAAGTGCTATATTTTTTCTGTCACAATTTACCATTCTGAATTACAAGTTACACTTTCTGACTTACATTTTACTTATCTGAATCACAAGTTACACTTTCTGAATCACAATTGAAAAATGTGTAGACCAGCTGGAAATCGAATCACGAAGAGGGCCTCGATATGTGCTACTTACCCTTCCGACATTTTTGTGACTGCTGTCTGCGATTTGCTTCAATCCTACAGCAAGGTTTCTCAGTTTGGCAGGTGTCAATGACAGTCTGGAGAGCAAAGGCTTGGCCAGCCCGGATTTGGTGGCTTCCTGGAGATCCCTCTGATTGGCATCCAGAATATCAGATTGTCTCGAGATGAGGAGTTCAGCTAACGTGTGGACGCAAGATGCTCGTTGTTCAGGAGTGATTGTAGCTAGTATTCGACCGCCTGTACGAGCTACAAAACAAATTGATGGATGCGATGCGATGTAGACTCAAGACTATCAACTATAGTATACCAGTGTCCCCAAATTGGAGTATGAGACACCTGGAATTTTAGCTCGGATTCGTGAGATTCTAACCTCTAAAAAAATCAGCCAATTCCCAGGTAGCACAGGTTAGTGAAATGACGTCATAATGCCGTATTTTTTTGGTCATCATTGGTCAATGACGTCCTCGACTTCAGAGGGACCAAAAAATGACGTCATACTTCATGACGTCTTATTGACGTTCAATATTGGACGTCTTAATGACGTCCCTACAAAGTCGTATATTCGACCAAATGAGGAAAATCAGTCGCTTTCTTACCTTTCCATCGTTTGTTAATTGTACGTACTAAATTTGTGTTTGTATATACAGTGTTTTCGTAAGTACTGATGAACAAATTTATTTTTAGCCAAATTATGCATTTTTGAGGAATCTGCTGAAAACGGTCGATTTTCATTTTCAATTTGCCATATTTATGAGAAAAATAGAATATACATACATGGTGATCCACGTTTGAGTTATGACCATCACGAATTTTTTTTTAAATAGAGCACCCTATATATATTACTCAATCATTGAAATAACCATGGGAAGCGGAATTCGAAAATGTTAAACACAATCATGTGGATTGTATAGGTAAGTGCGTCCAATGAATTAGATGATCTCGTGAAGTAGTGGATAAATTCATTTATTATCCAATATCTATCTACCTTATATGTTTCTGAGAAAACAGGAGAGGCTTTTATTTCTAATTTGACACATTTATAACGAGAAATCATCAAATATACAGGATCATGCACGTTTGTATTATGACGTAGACGTACACGACACATTTTTCAAACGGATATATATTCTTGAATTTTCGTAATCAACTGTATATCACACAAAGGGTTCGTATACAGGGCGTTCGTTAAATTCAGTTCTCTCGTAAAATTGGATCGCCATTAAAAAATAAAGATGACGTAATTTCTCCTACACGAATCGTTCTGTATATATTGATTTAATATGAGATAAAGCTTGAATGAAAATAGAATTCTACGGCATCGAACGTTATTCTCTAAAAAAAAAATATTTTTTCAATTCCCAACGAATTTATTCGCAACTTCACAAAAGAACTTCATTCAACGAACGCACTGTATACAAACTCATATATTTTTGAATCCAGCTTTCCATAGAGACTCCAAAAATCGAATGATTCATATAGGGTGTTCCTTTGAAAAAATGGTAGCGGACGTTGTAACTCAAACTTAAATCACCCTGAAAGTTCATTTTTTTCTGAATAATGTTGGTGATTTGAAATAAAAATAGACCTATTTTGGGAGATTCCTCAGAAAAGAATTGTATGGTTATAAGTACATTGATTGGCTACTTTATTTACTTCACGCGAGATCACTCAATTTAACGAACACACTGTATACAAACCCTATGTGTAATATATTTTTAAATTAAGCTTTTTATGAATATTTCAAAAATTGAATGTATCTTATATAGGTTATTATTGTTTCTAATTGAAAAAATTGCCGCGGTCGTCTTAACTTGAACGTGAATCACCTTGTATATATATATGATTCTTACTTTCAAATGTTGCAAATCGGAAATAAAATCGACCTGTTGCAGAGGATTTCTCAGAAATGGATAGTTTAGCTAAAAATGAGTTTATTCAGCTTACATCTCGCCGACGCTCGCTACATAATTTTAGGTACTAATACGAGTTGCTAACGATATTGTCATAAAGAGATTCATAGGTAGTAGTGATAGCGCTAGGATTCAACAGGACTGCACGGGAGGACCATCAACCAAGTGACCACAACGTATAGTTACAAAATGAATGTCATCAAAGGTTTGTGTTGTAATTATGTACCAATAATACCGTATATATATAAACCTCTTAATTTTTCATATTCCGTCTTCTATTGGTCATTCTGCGACGTCATTATGACGTCTAAATATGACGTCATATATCTGTGACATTTTGACGTCATTATAGGGTCTCTCAGACGTCATTTTTGGACGTCTACTTCGTCATTTTATGACCAAAAAATGACGTCAATTGGACGTCACTCTGCTACCTGGGTTTCAATTCGGTTTCCAGATTTTAGTAGCTCATTTCATTGTCTTCAGAATCATGAATCCAAAGAAGAAAAGAATGAGTAAATAAATATGTCACAGGGTGATGAATGCATGGCACACTGAAAATTTTAATCAAATTTGAAAAGATTCCATTCGGTCTAAAAATTTTTCTCCTGGTTTCCACATATCGTATCATAGAGTTTGATGTCATATTTTGAAATGGTTATTTATTTTTTTCGATTCATTGCAGTGTTTTGTCAATATTATTTTTTTCGTAAAATGTCATGAGAATCTTGACAAAGCATTTCACGGTCATGTGACCTATAGAAAACTGAATCCAGTCGAGACTAGATCCCCTATCAATACAGGGTGAATTCCCGATAGTTCTATACTGGCTTCTCTGTATTCATTTTACTATTAAACTATAGTGCAGCGCAATCGAAGTGGAAAACCTGCAATTTTAGCCGAAATTCATAAGATTATAACTCAAAAAGAAAAAAAAAAACGGAAGAAACATGAGAGAATAAATATCTTTTATGGTGATATGGATGGCACACAGCAAACCTGCATAGAATTTGGAGTGAAACCATTCCGTCCAAGAATGTTTCATTTGGTTTTGTCATTCATCGTATCATGGAGTTTGATGTGATTTCTCGAATTGGTATTCAATTTTCATTGATTCATTGTAGTGTTTTGTCAATATAATTTTTGGAGAATCTTCACAAAGAGACTAGGTCCCCTATCAAGACAGGGTGAATTCCCTATCAATACATCAGGGAAAATTTCAGAGTTCTATGAAGACTTCTTCGTATTTATTTTACGTTTGAACTGAAGTGCTTTACAATTGAAGTGAATCACCTGCAATTTCAGCTGAGATTATAACTTCCAAAGAAAAATAACCGATTCCAATTCGGTTTTCAGATTTCACATGCTCAATTCTTTGTCTTCAGAATTATGAATTTGAAAAACAAAAAATTGAGAGGATAAATATTTCACAGAGCGATGAATGGCACACAGCAGACTTGCATATGATTTGAAGGAAAACCGTTCGGTCGAAGAATGAGTTTTCTGGTTTTGTCATTTATCGTTATCATGGAGTTTGATGTCATTTCTCGAAATGGTTTTTATTTGCATCGATTCATTACAGTGTTCTGTCAATATATTTTTTTTTTCGTAAAATGTCAATAAATTAGTGTTGAGAATTTTCACAAAAACAATTTCTCGGTCATGTGACCCTTAGAGATTTGAAACCACTCAATACTAGATTCCCTATCATTACAAGGTGAATTTCAGAGTTCTTTAAAGGCTCAAATTCATAGTTGTGAATGAACATTGCAATATATATGCTATGTAAAAGGTCTTTCATCGCATCTCAATCGTTCGGATGTTCACATAGATGATCTATTTCTTCCTAATAATAATACATGAACACGAGACAAGATCGAATGCATATTTTCATATATATAGAACTCATACTGGTGGTGGCATGAAAAATTTATTCTTCAAGGGATTACGGGAATTTAATAATTTACCAAATGCCATTACAAAGGCAAATACTGTGAAAGGGTTCAAGTGTAAATTGTTGGAATATCTAGCACGTTAGTTGGTTGAAATTATGTGTATGTGTGTATTTCATTATATCAATGTTTTTTATATCTCTCATTATGTATCTTCGTTTGTACTTTTTCGTTGTCTTTTTATTTTGATTACTGATTTTTACTTTCAGATTTTAATCATGTTATTTATATTCAGATTGAAATTTGATTAATATTTCTGGCACTGTGTGAAACTCTAAATTATCATCATGTATTATATTTATTGTAAGATCAGGATTTATCCTATAATAAAGATCACTACTACTAATTCTGAAGGATGATGTGATGTCTTGAAATAATTTCGATTTTTTTGCAATGAGGTTGATAATTTTGAACTGGTATATTTTTTGATGATTTCTTTGTGAATGAGAATTGAGGATGAATTTCCGGTTCTCCTATATCCCCGCATCGATCAGAATATCCATCACTTTCTGAAACTACAGAGTGCATGATTCGAAGAGTCGCTTGAAAAATCAGTTATTAGAATATCTCGAGTATCAGTTGTATGTCATCAGTTCCTCTTTCGTTTGGTAAGGTATCATTCGGCTCTCAAATTATTTTTTTGATGGTTTTCATTTGATGATATCGAAATAGAACCATTTTCTCTACGGAGAATATCCTGGAATTATACATTTTATTGTCTTGCTCTGAATGCATTGATGACTTTTTTACTGCAGCCGACACAAAAGTCTTTCATTTCGATAACAAAATTACCTTTCGAATTGACGTTTCTATTACTGACAAAAACAAAGGTTTTTGCTACAAAACACTTTTAGTCCTACTACAAAGGCTATACTAGGTCATCAAGAATAAGAAACATCGCATTGGTTGGTCATTTGGGCGGAAAAAGAAATCCTCTGTCTGATCAATGATTGAATAACGATCAAAGACCCTCAACATGGCAAACATTGCCATATTCATTCACAAATGCAGATTGAAGCCTGTATATAACTCTGGAAATCACCTAGTATTGATAGGTGAATTAGTCTCAGGTGGTTTCAATTTTCTATGGATCACATAACCGTTGAAATGTTCTCGAAAAGAGTTTTGAAAATGAAACACACTATTTCTGTGACATTTTGAAACAAAAATCATTATAACTGAACAATGTAATCAATCAATGAAAATGAGAAACAATTTCAAGAAGACATGTTTGGACGGAATGATTCCACTCCATATTCTTTGCAAGTTTGCAGTGTGCCGTGTGCATCGCCCTGTGAATTTTTTATTTTCACTTTATATCATTTTTAAAATTCATGATCCTGAAAACAATGAATTGAGCTTTTCGAATCTGAAAATCGAATTGAAATGGGTTATATTTTTTAAAGTGATAATCTTACGAATCTCATTTAGCTGAAATTCCAGGTGTCCCAAACAGTTTTACTCAAAGTGGAACGAAAAGTTGAATAAAAACAGTGAAGCTCAAAGTCGTTTCCACATATGTTCATGAAATGAGCAACAATGGTGAATTACAGGAGTAAACCAACTACCTTCCTGGCTAATGCAACGTAGAACATTCAACATCCCGCCGAAATCTATGCATCAAAACTCATGAGATTACCACAACGAATTCAACAATACCTATATTTGCATTCGAGGTATCCATATATGCTCAATGAGCGTGACGGCCCAATATCGAAACTTATTTTTTGCAGAAGCAAATACACACACTGTTTTACCACTAACCAAACCGATTTTTTTCACGTCAAAATTGGGCAAATTATGGTTATTCAGAAGTTAAGGTGGACACACTTGAAAAGTCAGGAGTATACATAATAATGTTAATAATATTATGAAACTAGATGCATACAAATGCCTAGAGATATTTAAGAATAGTAATAGAGTGATGAATAAAGATAATGGACTTCTTCCATATAATCCTCTGTATAGTTTAGCCATCTAAGATCAAGGTGAACATGTGAACTCAATAATGACAAACATTTACTTCTCAGTTGGTGGACATATACCGTATGAAAAATCGATTTGGTTAATGATTAAACAGTGTAGTGTATCTTCGTGCCAAAGGTTCCAGTCTTCGATATATAATAATTCAAATGCCATCATCATTTTCATTTGATCCTGTAGAAATTTGAGTACATATTTTCCTTTTCCCTCGCCAAGATTGTCATTTTTGCTTAAGATGAGTCTGTATGGGCTGAAAACATGTACGATGATCTGATCAAGAAATTTGATCCCTATAAAAGTTGTGGAGACGACTTTGAGCTTTCCTTCTTCCTTTAAAAATTCCACTCCACTTTGAGCAAACATGGACTTCTACCAGAGATTTCACATATTACATGATTGTGGATATTAACTCATTGCTTTCTCATAACTGTTTCATTAGGCATTCAAGATCTCACTTATCACTATTTGCGGGTGTAATCATTCTATACATACCATTTTCTGCTAACGATTCAGTTGAAACACCGCCTCCCAGAGTGTTTTCAGTGAAAAACGTTCCTACTTTTCTTCCGGAAAGTATAGTTTTGATGGCGTTATCCAACATCCCGTTACAAATGACTACAGAAACGCCCCTGTCTAGTGCCCATGTGGCCGAGTTTACTTTGGAATCCATTCCACCTGCAAAGATATCAGAATAATTAGTCATAATGCAGTTAGTGAGTGCACAATGAAAATTCAATTCATATTTTTCAATTCTCAATTTGTCGACCAACCACCAGAAAAATATAAGTAAATCACAAAACATTCAAGTTTAGAATCCTGTCTGTATCTTTACCGGTTCGATTTCAAATTTCATCTCGAGTGTACAGTAGGAACTCCTGTACTTTGAACCACTCCCCACTCCTTTCAGATTTGATACCACTTGACCACGCCCCTCTCATCGAGTGGGCCAATCAGAGGTTAGAGGGCGGGCTCATGGGTGATCGGCGTGCCCTTAGCGGAGACGGAGGCGTGGCCTAGGAGAAATTGGTCCTTCGAGACGAGGTGGGGATACGGGATTGGCCTTGAGCGGAGCCCATCGTGATTGGGTAGGAATGAACTTGGTTTTGATAGTCTGAGAGGGTGAAATTGGTGGATTTTGACGTGAAGGGTCGTTGTATTACTGCTGTTGTTGTGACTGGTTGCGTGGAAAAAGCTGATGGTGATTGTATGACTCGTGAGAATAAACTCTGGTACTTGGTTTATCTATTGGTCAGTTTCTGATAGGCCAAGGCAGTGACATTGATGGATTTCGTAGACGGAATGGGGATATATTTTCGATATGATTGGTTGTGGGTGTTGTTTATTGCTGTTGTTATGATTGATGTCATAAAGATGGCTGATTACTTCAATTAAAGAGTTCATGTTAAAAAAATCAGAACAGCGCATGTGCAGGCCACAATTATTGTATGTGAATTAGTTCATCCTGATACAAGTACCACTAGAAATAAATCTGCCGAAAAGCATACGCAGAATAGTTGTTCGAGTAACGAATTTTACTATGAGTATTTTCAGTGTGGAACTAAATAATTTTCAAGTAGATATACAATGTAGACTAAAAAATTCAACCTCAAAAAAGTTTTATTCAAAGCATCTTGGTACAAGATCTCTATGAGAGTCAGTTAAAATACTGATTTCATGCGATGTGTCATTTTATATAATATTCATACAGAATTTCATCCTTGAAATGTCATTAGTAGTTTCAACATGATCATTGAGAAAATTGTAAATGAAGGGTTTATTGAAAACGGATGCCGTTACGATGACTTTTCACTGAACAAACCCACCTTTTTTGCAATTTTTCACCTAATATATCAACGACATCAGACACTCTGTATAATAGTAGAGTCGCTATACCTACCAGCAGGGTAACTGCACAGGCCACAAGAGGATGCCCCAAGAAGGGGTATTGTCTTCTCTTTTATGGTCCATAGTGGTCGATAATAACCTACTCAATGGCTAGGATATCATCAAACATAACGCAGACTGCAATCAACATGCTGAAATACTAGTGGGTTCAGGAGGGCTTGAAGATCAACCCAAGCAAAACAGTCATCGCTCCATTCACAAAAAGGAGGTAGATCAATTTGAAGTAACTCACGTAAAATCAACACTTGACCCAATATTACCAAATGGGCAATTTCAGCTCTCTGAATATGCCGAAGGATGTATGGTTGAACTTGTGGTCTGGAACCAATCTACTGGTCATACCTCACGGTGGCCAGACTCATGGTCATATACGCTTCTCTAGTATGATGGACCAAAATTAAGGAAAAACAATTGCACAAATAGCACTGCAGCGATGAAAGCTATGCATGATCTACAATCGTTGCATGGTTTCATCAAGAGGACTGCAGGCTAGTGCATAATGACTGAACTCTACTGAATTTGCAAGACCAGGTGATCACAAACGAATGCGTCGTGAAGTATTGACGTTCGTTCAGAACCACTCGAAAAAATATCGCATCGAATACGATTCCAACTTCAAACTATTCATGGTCAAACTCAAACTTCTTGCATAAATGAAAATCGTGTCAGTTCAACAGAATCATCTCCCGTTTCGCGGTCAACTGTCAAACTAACACTTTTTATCATGCAAAAAGGTATCGATACATAAACCGAATATAATGAAGAACTCATTACACTTATTGATATCACTAATGAAGAAATATCCAATTAATCACATATTACAGGGGAATCACATGTCAAACCTTCAGTAGGTATTTCATTACCGTTTCAGGAAAGTCTCCATGTGTTCGAATTATTATTTGTATCTTACAGATGAGGAATAAATGAGACTTTTCAATAGGCTACAGGTTTCAGAGGTACCTTATGATATCAATGTCAACCTCATAATGATTATAATATGCTGAGGACATTTCGAAGCAAGTGTTTTCAAACAGGCGAATGGAAGAATGAGGAATAATGATTTGATGCAGTGTGTCCTGTCAACATATTATCACAAGAAGATTCAACTTATGGTTTCTATCATTGAATCAAATGTCAAGGAAGGAAAGCATCCTTGAATCTGTTGTTTCCATGGGAATCTTCTGATTGATTTTTTATGAGTTTTGAAATTATTGCGCTGTCATTTCAGCACTGAACTGATAGTAGTAATCAGAAAAAATTGGTGTTTTATACACATAATGAGTAATGAGTATCTCTTTCAGAATTAGCTATCAGAATTTATGTTTTCCCCCAATGTATCCGAGAGTTTTTTCCTGAGTGATTGTTGTTCCGTTAGGATTAATTTATATTTATATCATCCTGTACATTTATTCAAAATGAGTTGAGGTACCATTGAATCATGAGGGGTTTTTGTTTTATTGTTGTTTGACAGACTTGTCAGGAAATTGTGCTAGTGAGATGAATGATGAATTTTGGAGATTAAAGAATTCAACCCGAATTAGTATTCGACTCATTCATCCATAATACTTCATGGTGGCAGCGGTGGTTGAATAATATCATCCCGAGTATATCTATAGCTCCATGCCAGATTCCGAAAGTGAAACAATGTCTGCTCCTCCAGTCCAAGTATTAGCAAATATAACTCCTCCTGAACAATTCAACTTCAATAATCCTGCATCTTGGCCCCAATGGCAGAAAAGGTTCGAGCGATATATGAGTATATCTGGTCAACTCATGAAACCAGATGATGAGAAAATCAATATTCTACTCTACATCATGGGAGAGCATAGTGAAGAGATCATCATTCAATTTCCAGAAATACCCAATAAATATGAAGATTTTCTCAAAGCCTTTGCGAATCATTTCATTCCACGCAGAAACATTATCTTCGAACGATTTCAGTTCAATTCTCGTGTTCAGCTTCCAGGTGAGAGTATAAATTCTTATATAACAACCTTGCATACTTTGGCAGAATATTGTGAATACGGAATGTTGAAGGAAGAACTTATACGAGACAAAATCGTTGTCGGGATGTCCGATAAGAGATGCAGCGAGAAAATGCAGTCAATTTCAAATTTAACGTTAGCTGCTGCTGTACTTCATGCTAAGCAAGCAGAAATCCAAAATCAACAAAGCAGTATTCTGAAGCAAGACAAAATATTGGTGAATGCAGTATCTTCGAGTTATGAAAATAATTCAGCGGCTAGTCATAGCCGAAATATCTTCATGAAATCTTCAGGGGAGAATTGCGAGTTCTGCGGTTTCAAGAAACATGCAAGAGAAGTGTGTCCTGCAAAAAATGCTGTTTGTAGATCATGTTCCAAGAAAGGGCATTGGGATCGAGTATGTAGGTTTTCTTCATCCTTCGAAATGAACCTTGTGGACACCAACATTAAATGTTTCTTCACTCAGTGGAATCACTGTTTTCCGCAAGTGTGTTTTTTGTGGTGGGGTGGAACTTATAACAAAAAGACCTAGGAGGCGCTGAACCCACCTGTGCCGACCTTGGACTTCTGGCCGAACTCGATCGTGTGCCGCAAGTCGGAGGTGAAAGTGTCCAGGAATTTGGCGCCCTCCTCCCAGGGTGGCTTGCTGTAGATGCCGTCTACGTCGGACATGAGGATGAGGAGGTCGGACTGCACCTCGGCCGCCAACATGGCCGCCAGGCTGTCGTTGTCCTTGATGGCTATGCCGCGTTTGCCACCTTTGCCACCTAAGCAGAAGCACAAATTCAGAAATGTTATCTACAACTATTGACAGACATTATTGTGATTAGACTGACTTTATAAATAGAGTGACGACGATAATGGTACACTTTTTAATTCAAGCTTCCAGTAGTCGCACGCGAAGTACTTCGGTATGAATCAAGTATTACCGATGTGCAAAATTGCTTCGTTTTTGAATTTCCTAGCGTAGTGCGGAGTCGTACTTCGCAGCGACCTCAGACGTCTTAGTTATATTGCATATTGCAGTTACACTTTGCAGCTATTTTGGGCGCTTTAGGTACAGATTTTGTCTCATTTGATGTATAATATTTCATAAAATACCGTTTTGTCAACACACATGATCGATGCTACTGTGATAAAAAAAATAGTACATGTGAAAAATTCATGTGCTTATTAGAATCTGCTTTATTCATTTGCAGAGATTGCCGATGAGTCCTTGGTGGTTCGAGATTGACACATTTTCAGTTTGTCATCAAATTATAGTGTTCTTGTTCGAAATCTAGTGATCAAATATCCGATAGTTGCCTTATGGTAATTTTGAGTTTTGTTATTGAATAAATATATTTTTTCTACAAACGTCAAAAAATGACAAGATTCGCGCATTGATAACAAATTGCGAAGTGACACTTTTTTTCAGTTTCCTACGTTACAATGATACCTTGCACAAAACAATGCGCGAAGTGAAACAGTGCGCGAAGTACCTACTTCGCGCACTGTTATGTAAAATATATGAGATATTTATATTTCAACTTAAAATGGTCCAATCGAGCAAACATCGACGAAATCATTTATTACTGAATGTTCAATAAATAACTTCGTTTTATCTCTTGGAGCGCACGAATGGAAATTCCTATTATGTTCGTGGAACTTCGTTCGTACCTAGGGAGGATAGGGGGAGGCCATTAAAGCCTGTTCAACACTATTCTTTATATCAAGCTGAGCGTATCTCCACTTTAGAACAATGTTTTTTGGGGTTTGTAGAAAAAATGTTGTTTGCAACTCGAGCGCGAAATACTTTCGTCATCTCGACTATTTTTTCAACTCGGCTACGCCTCGTTAAAAAAATCAGATCTCGATCACCAAAGTAGCATTTCGCGCTCTAGATACAAAAATAACTATTTTCTACAAACGTCAAAAAATGACAAGGTTCGCGCATTGATAACAAATTGCGAAGTGACACTTTTTTTTCAGTTTCCTACGTTACCATGGTACCTTGCACAAAACAATGCGCGAAGTAAAACAGTGCGCGAAGTACCTACTTCGCGCATTGTCATGTAAAATATATGAGATATTATTCAACTTTATGGTCCTCAATCGAGCAAACATCCACGAAATCATTCATTTCTGAATTTTCAACAATAACTTTGTTTTATCTCTTGGAGCGCACGAAAGGACATTCCTTTTATGTTCGTGGAACATCGTTCGTACATAGGAAGGATAGGGGCAGGCCTTTTAAGCCAGTTCAAGACTATTTTTTACATGAAGCTAAGCATATTTTCACTTCAGAACTATATTTTTGGGCGTGTGTAGAAAAAATTTTGTTTGCAACTCGAGCGCGAAATACTTTGGTCATCTCGACAATTTTCTTACTTGGCTACGCCTCGTTAAGAAAAAAACAAATGCATTGATGAATAAGATGTACACAATATTGTGTTTTAATGCTAAGCAATGTGCTATCTGATGGCATATATCACGTGATCATCAAGTGTGAATATTTGGTAGTAGTATTGAAGTTTATAATAATTGTTCATTCAATTGTGTGACCATTATTATATGATTAGTTGTTTATACAACCGAATATGGTAGAAACTTATCTTCCGAGACGTTCTGGCAAAATTAATATCTTGACACATCACACTTGGCGTCCGAAATATATCATTTCTGACAGAATGACAGCGCGGGAAAGTGATGGTTGAAATTCCAATTGAAAATCGAATTTGGGCGGTGTTTGATGATACTGGTGATTGAAGAAGAGTGACGGATACTTTCGAAAAAAAAAATCAATGACGTATCGATGAGTGAAACATCTGGACAAAATAGGGATACAACGGGATGGAGGAAGAGGGACCAAAATTATTCAAGAACATCACATATCAGCCTAGCCAAACAAAATTCAAGTCGGCATTACATTCCACCAGATGCGTCTTTCATAGACAATATGAAAGCAACGCTATCTGAGTAAAAAAGCAGGAAAGGAACACTCCAAAACTGAAATTCCCATGCAAGAATGGCTAGTTGTCTATGAAGGACGCCTCTGGGGGAATATAATGCCGATTTGATTTTTGTTTGGCTAGGTTATGCTTAGTCAGCGATCTAAGGACTGGTACCTGGAGACTGCCCTGCACTGATGAAAGTCAAAGAGCACGAAACCGGTCTGTAGATGTCTAGCGTGGCCTGGCTGAATCAAAATCGATAGGCATTTAGGAAAGCATCACTTGTATCAGTATTCGTTCATACGAGTCGAAGCATAGATTTCGGGAGTATGTAATTCAATGTTCTGCGTAGCATTAGCCAGGAAAGTAGTTGTTTTTCTCCCAAAATCTACCATTGTTGTTATTGTTATTTCGTAGTTGTCTCAACAAGAGAGTTCAATCGTGAACTCTGAATCTCAGTGTGATCCCCCTTGAGACATGTTAACTATCCATTATAAAATCTTCACAGTGGGTTTATTGGGACACCCGGTACACAACTAACCTATCGGTTCATCCACCTGAGGAGGAGGTGACACGGCATCGTTGGTGTTGATTATGGGGACAATATTGAGGCTGATCAACTCGGACAAGGTGCTGATGAGGTTCTTCCTGGTTTCCTCGTTGTAGAAGTCCGGTTTGGTAACCAGCACTTGGGCGATCTTGACGCCATATTGGGAGAACATGGCGTCGTAGAGGGACATGAGGCCCGATTGGCCAATGGCGGCCGCTGCTCGGGGTTCCAGGATTTTTGACGCATCCTGAAAAGGGATCGTTGATGAGCCAACGTTATACCTACATGCCTAGCAAACAATTTTGGTGTCGGTCTTACGATGAATATTTAGGCCAGAATTGGCTAGACCGGCAAGATTACTCTCAACATTGATGGGCCAGTACCAATAGCCGTCATCAGGGCCAATACATATTCGACAATACATTCAAATTAAAAAAATGACGACCGCCATGGGATTAGAAACTCGTGGTCCTCCGGTTACAAATCGGACTTAGACCAACTGAGCTTCTATATTTTTCTTGAAGTGATGTGTATATCAAATTTAATTGCAGAAAACTTTCGAATAGGAATATTCCATCAACAATTAGCATCACCAAAACAGATATATAAATTTTCAACACAGGTGACGAATTTGACAATTTTTTTTCACTGTTTTACTGCTTCATCCATTATCTACAAAATGTTATGCATTTTTTCTCAGAGATTCTTTCACTCATTCCAAGATTCACGTTTCTGATCAAAATATCTGTGTTGTCAATCGATAATTTATTATTATAATTCATCACAAAAATTGAAGCCTATTATTTCTCTACTACTTCAAAAAAAAAAAAAAAAATGAATTATAAATTGGAGCTCTTTATTGCACGTTAGTGTTAGTATAAAAATGCAACTGGTGTTGTTCTCAACTTTTAATTTCAAGATTCAAATGTAATTAGGTTTCTCATTCCAAGATTCACGTTTTCGATCAAAATATCTGTGTTGTTAATCGATAATTTATTATTATAATTGATTACAAAAATTGAAGCCTATTATTTCTCTACTACTTCAAAAAAACAAAAAACTTGAATTATAAATTGGAGCTCTTTATTGCACGTTAGTGTTAGTATAAGAATGCAACTGGTGTTGTTCTCAACTTTTGATTTTAAGATTCAAATGTAATTAGGTTTCTAGTAACCTGTCTGTGATCTTCTTATAATAACTCACATGCGCAAGCTGTCATGGATATGGATATTGGATATCATAATATTTTCATATTCAGGTATGAAAGGAACTCACCTTCAGGCAAAATCGTCATAAGCACTGAATTTTAATTAATTTGTATCGAAGAATTTTTGATCAACTTTGTATGATCGCATTTTGATAGTACATTATACTTCATGGGACAGCAATGCAAGTTTTTTTCCAAGGTGATATAAAGCACCAAGGGAAAAATAGCATTCTGTCCTGAGGTATACAGGGTGATCCACGGTGGATGGCCTATTAGAAGTATCTGGAGAACGAAAAGACAGAACATTCTGAAAATTGGGTTTCTTCGATAATTGAAAATTTTCTATCTGTCTAAAATATTTTCATCGACACAGTGTTGCCACTTCTATCAGAAACAACTAGCAACTTTGTTATTTCAAATGGAACACCCTGTATTTTATTGCATTTTTAGATTCTTTCTGAAGAGCTGATTTCATCAATGCATCACACTTGGGGTCTAGCAGGAATGATTACAGTAATATAGGGTGTTCAAAACCGAGATTTTTCAATTTTAAGATTTTTTTTGTCGAAACAATTCATTATCGATCAAAACGGCTTACATGTCTCTATCTCAACTTTTGATTGACTATCTACTGGAATTTGATTGGAAAAAATACAGGGTGCTCCAAGATTCAGAATTCTGATCACCCTGTATCTGTTCCAATTAAATGTCAGTAGATAGTGAACCAAAAGTTGAGATAGGGACATGTAAGTTGTTTTGATGAATTGTGTGCAAGCCGTGCGAGAGCAAGTCGGCCTCTGACGAGACACGTGACAGTATTTGATGCGTTCTGGTGAATAACATTTCTCGTCAGTGGATGTATTTTGATTCTAGTTTATAGTCAATACTTCTTCGATTGAAACGGCTTGTATCTTTTTCCACTGCAATATTTCATAGGGGCATGTCGCGTCATATTTTCCTCCAAACAATTCTTCTTCAGCCTCCTATAGTGATGACTCATTCTGCACATTACAGGATTACCCTTTTCGTGGGAAAAAGAACATAAAAAAAATACATGATGAAATTTTTGGAATTCTCCACCCTCGATATCTTCCTTCCAGTAGATAATATGGAAAATTGAGAGGGCAGGTCGATTTTATTCTCAAGGAAGACACATAAAATGATTAGTTCGAGTCCTCTTGGTTCAACCCCTAGAAGAGGTAGATGTACCCTCATAACCTCGAATGGGAAGAGGGGTCATATGACACATAATTTTGAAGGGCGTTCAATTCTCTTTCATAGGGTTCCCTGGTTCATTATTTTCAGTGTCAATTTGAAAACTTGTCACCCTCTATATCTTACTTCCAGTAAAAGATATAAAAAACCTGAAAGACACGTCAATCTCATTCTCTATTGAGACAATTGAAATGCTTTTTTCAGTCCTCTTGATTCAACCCCCTAGAAGGGGTATAGATTGTCACCCTTAGAACCTCATATGACAAGGGAGGTCAAGATGCACATTATTCTGAAAGGCATTCAATACTTTGTTCAATAGTACCTCAGTTTATCATTTTTTGATGAGCAGTTTCCGAAAAATGCCGTTCTAGACTTACAGAAATAATGAGAACATGCCTGCACTGAGATGCATGGTTTCCAGGTTAGTAGGTATTGACTATCCCTTCAGTCCAAATCTCAGTCTGAATGGTAAGAAGATTCTGAACTGGAAGGAGATTCAATACTAAAAAAATTCGATGAAAGGAGACACAGCTGAGGTTGTCGTCGTATGATGGTAGTTTGTGGATAATTCTTTGGTGCCAAACACGGTCGAATGCTTTCGATATATCTAACGCCATTTTTGAAGATTGTTTGGAAGTTGGAATCCATCGATCTTTCAAAGATACTCGATTTGTACACGATTGTGAATGACTTACAGAAAACTAGTGCCAATTCTTGTGCACACTTTTTGAGAATAATAGGTGGAATTTCATCGAAATCGTCAGTCTCTGTCGTTCCAGAAGCCGATTTTGGGCATTCGACTTTTCACGGAAGACATATCTCTCGACATTCTTTCCTGAGAGTCTGAGGTGGAGCTTGCCACGAACATTCCTAATGAAAAGTTTGCTCTCCTTTGCGATGTTGTCGTTAATGTGCCATCGACTTCAGAGAGTGGTGAGAGTGAATTATTAGTGGAATTATTTCCGACTGCTCTAGCAAGGCACCAAAACGAACAAAGAAAACTATTAGATCTGATTGTATTGTATGCTTCCGTTAACGTATTTGAAATATTAAATATTGTTGCATAGCATGATGTATATCGTGGTGAATAACATTGTGTATAACGTGTCGTCAAGGAATATGAGTTTTAACGCGCGCTGAGGAGTAATCGTTGATGAGCCAACGTTATACAAGGTTTGTAAAGAGAAATCGCAGAGTCGTATCGGTCATTGAAAGATTGATTTTCATCCTCGAATTGATAGACTTACCTCCCTTTTATGATCTGTGGGTGATAATGTTTCCCTCATAGAGAGAGACATAAGGAGTTCTTGAGTTAGTTTCTGTTTTCCAAAGGCCACTGCACCACTGGTCACCATAATACACTCTCTTCCCTCATTCTGACACTCTGCTACCTAAAACGCAAAAATCATTTCAAATTAATCAAAGAGTTTTGACGTTAAACAGTGTATAATAACAGGCTGACGATTCACGGTGGATGGCACACATTAGACGTTTCTGGTGAACCAGGCTCCGTATTTTTCTGAAATTTGGTGAAGAGCATATTCAGACATTTATACTCATCCAGAATATTTCCGACACTGCAATGTTGCCACTTATATGAAGAAGTAGTAGCAACTTCGATCTATCAAACGGAACACCCTATATTTCATTGCATTCACCCAGACAGCACTGGACATTCCTAGAATATTCTCTAAATATGCTAAAAGGGAAGAATATATTCCGAATATCCTTCGAATATTCTTAGAATATATACGTGCCTCTGGACCATTCAAGGAATATTCAAATGTGAATATTCTAGTAATATTCCAAAATGAATATACAGGGAATATTCCATAAGGAATATTCTGTAGTGAATATTCCTAGAATATTCCAGTTGAATAGTGCAGAGGATATTCAGGTATGAATATTCCAGGAATATTCCTAATTGAATATTCTGTTCCTGTATATTCATGGAATATTTCGATAATATTCCCATGTGTATCAATGAAATTGTAAAGTATGAAAATTAACCAATCACAATTTTATGGATGTGAGTATTAAACATTGATTTTGAAATCTGTGGTAGAAGTCCATCGTATTTCAAAGTGAAGTGGTTATGTTACCAGGGATCAAAAACAAAAAGTCGTCTCCTCAATTTTGATAGTGATCAAAGTACTCAATCAGATCACCGTACATGTTAAGAGCCCATATGGAACTGGAAGTGTTTATGGTTCCCTTCTGAACAACGCAATTCAATAAATTGTTATGTACATTATTATTCAACTCGATTACTGGCCAAGTGGTTAAGGCGTTGATCTGACAGTCTGAAAGTCCCGAGTTCGAGCCCATAGTGGGTCAGCTTTTTTTAATTATGAATATGTATTACGAAATATTCCCGGAATATTCATTTATTTATATTCCTGTATTATTCCAGGAATATTCCGAATATTATCTGAATATTCCTAGAATATTATAGGTACATTCTGAATATATAGGGAATATTCCTTGTGTAATATTCCAGGAATATACAAAATTTTCCCCACCAGCACATTCAGGGAATATTCCATAGTTGATATGTATATCCCTGGCATGTTCATGAATATTCGCAATATCCAAAAAGAATATTCTATGAATATTCATGGAATATCTGGTGCTGTCTGGGCATATCCCCCTTGAAGAGCTGATTTCTTCAATGTATCTCATTTGGGGTGTTGCGGAGAAAATAACAGAAATATAGAGTGTTCAAAATCGAGATTTTTCAAGTTTAGGACTTTTTTCGGTCGAAACTATTCATCAGCGTTGACAACGACTTGGATGTCTTCATCTTACGATTCACTATCTACTAATGACATTCAACTCAAACAAATACAGGGTGGTTCAAGATTCAGAATCCTCGTTACCATGTATTTTTTCCAATTGAATGTCAGTTGATAATGGGAAGTGTCGACAAAAAAAATCCTAAAGTTGAGTAATGTTGATTTTGAACATCATACATCCATAAAATCATTTCCGCTGGACTCCAAGTGTGATACATTGATGGATCAGCTCTTTAGGGAGAATCTGAGAATGTAATGGAATATGGGGTGTTCTATGTGAAATATCAAATTTGCTACTACTTTTTTATAGTAGTGGCAACACCGCATTGTCGAAGATATTTTCGTTCGGTAGAGAATGTCTGATTATGCTCTTCTCTCCATCGAACTTTCGAAAAGTGTCGGTTCACATTTTTTTTATCGCTTGGAGCGCACGAGAGGGAATCCCTATAATGTTCAGAAAACATCGTGCGTTCCTAGGAAGGATCGGGACAGGAGGTAGGTATTGGAAATTTTTTTGAACTTTTGGAGATTATATGTTGTTGGGAATACTTCCACAGGCAATGAATTCCATAGCCTAGCCGTTCTATGGATGAAGGAGTCTTGATAAAGTGCTGTTCAACATCTTTCGAGGTTGACAACGAAAGGATGTGCTGACTGGGCTTGTCTAGTTCGTCTGATTCGTAATGCTAGTGAAGGGATGATACCAGAGATTTCCGAAGAACGTTTCCCGTGGAAGTATCGATAGAAAAGTGAAAGGTCGCCGACCTTCCTACGGTGTTCCAATGATGTCAAAGAGTGAGTGAGTGTGGCGTCACCCACCAGGCGAATGGCTCTTTTCTGGATGGAATCTAAGAGCATCAGCGTGTGTTTTGGTGATGAACCCCATATGTGGGAACAGTATTCTAGGACAGGTCGTATCTGCGCTTTGTAGATCATGAGAAGCTGTTGAGGTGTAAAGTAGCTTCTCGCACGGAACAAGAATCCGAGTTTTTGTGAAGCAGCTTTTGCGATGGATCTGACGTGATTATCCCATGAAAGAGTGTTGCTGATGGAAATACCGAGCATAGATATGCTGGGCTTGGTGGGGATGGTGGAGCCAGACATTATAATGTCGGGCCTACTGAGTTCCGCCTTTCTAGAGAAAATGCAGGCTTGAGTTTTGGTGGCGTTGAATTCAAATAGGTTGTTTGTTCCCCAGGCTGTGATTTCAGCAAGATCTTCATTGACAGCATTGACCTGCCTGCGCCGTGAGTTCTTAGTTTCCTGGGGAGAAATGGGAATTCTGGAAGAGAACGCAGTATGGAGGGTACTATCATCTGCAAAGCTGTGGATGGGGCAAGTTGTTACTCCCAACAGATCATTGATATGAAGCAGGAATAATGTTGGTGACAAAATTGATCCTTGTGGAACGCCGGAATTGATGCCAATGGTATCAAACGATACACCGTCCACCAAACGTCTAATGTGTCATCCACCATGAATCAGCCTGTATATAGGTACGGAATGTTCCTCAAGAGACGTGTTGTTGCTTGCATAAAAACAAGTAGGAAAGGCGAGAGGAAAGTTCTATGAATGCATAGATAAACCAATGTTTTGTGTATTCTATTTTGAATTTTATATCTGTCAGAATTCAGACTTTTTCCTCCAAATTCCTACTTTGTTTTGATATGCGAATACAGGATATGTTCCAAAAATGAACAGCAGAAATTTACAGGCGCGTTTTCCTATGAATAACAAATTTAGGAAGATGCTTCGTTTCAAATACCCACAGGGTGCATCTTCAGAAACGCATTCTGTTTACATTCGATTAAAAAACCTTATTCATACGAATGAGGATTCAAAAAGATGCATATATTTTTTATTGATATGTAAATATTTAGCGTTTCAAGTATCATTAGAGCAGAACAAAAAGAGTCTCAGCCGTCCAAAAGGTTACTGTATGGACACAGTATATTCACATAACATGAGGAAACATCCTGTATATCTCACAATTACAGATGTAATTGTTGAGGTTCTCTTACGTACCTGTTCGACGATGGACGCCAATCTTCCCAGAGCTAAGCCGTGTTCATCCTCTCTTGTGATAACTGCGCTTCCTAGCTTCACGACTAACCTTCTGGCATGTTTGAGATGGCTTCTGTCAGTGAATGTCGATTGTCTCTTCTCCTGTATCCCTTTCTTCTCGAAGTTTGCCTATAAATAATGATTTACTTTATAATACGGTCAGTGTAGCTGGGAGTCAGCAACATTTTTCAATATCACATTCGATAAAGCTTGGTTCATTTTCCTATCTATTAAAATAATATAGCCTTTCAACAAAATCTACTTTTGTCACCCCAATCGCAAGAAAACCCAACAAATATTCTAGGTATAATCTTTGGTAGAAGTCCATGGTTTCCCAAAGTGGAGTCAAGTATTAAATACTAAATGATACACAAAGTCCTCTCCACAACATTTAATGTGATTAACACATCAAAAATTGGTGCTCACATGTTTCGGACAAATATATGTCCATCATCAGCCTTACATCAGGAACTACATAATTGTAATGGGGATGAAAAAATGCTGTCAACAACTATTATATCAGAAAAATTTTGAAGGATTTTTTGATTATTATGGAAAATTAGTTATGGGAGGAACCAACAAACTGGCAAAAACGTTTTTGCTAGTTTAGGTATCGCATCCATGTTTTTTTTAAGTTCTGGTTCCTATGAAAAGGGATATCCTGTAATGTTCAGAGAACATCATGAGAACCAAGGAAAATAAGGTAGGAATTGGTGTTCTTCTTGAATTTCTGGAGGTTATATGCCTCGGGGAACACCTCCCTTGGCAATGTGTTCCAGAGCCTCGCTGTTCGTTGGATGAACGAGTCTTTGAAAATAGATGTTCTGCAGATCACGAAGGGGTGCGAAGCCTCAACTCGACGAGTTAATCTCGAGGGGACTACCAAGGGAGGTACAATTGTTGATATTTCAGAAGAGCATCGTCCACGAAAATATCTATGCCCTTTTGGATACCATTTGGTGGTTCACACCATGAAGTGAAATGGAATAATTTTCCGGGGTTCGTTGGGTTTCCCCATAATTAATTTTCCATAATTCAAAAACCCTCCCCAATTTTTCTAATATGAAAGTTGTTGACATAACCTGTTATTTCTGATGAAAGGCTGATGATGGACATATATATGTCTGAAACATGTACCAATTTTTGATGTGTATTTATTCTAGGTGAAATGTACGTCGTCATTTTGACCTAAGAATAAGCCAACGACCTATTTGCTGGAGTAAATATAACGTCTTATATTTACCTCAAATTCAGCAATACGGAAAAAATTCAAATAATTCAGAAAACAAGATCTGGGATATAAGGGTACAAATAGGTATAATTGCCCTGATTCTAGTCGTAAAGTGGTCTGAATTTAGTTATTCTGACCTTATTCATCACAGTCATATTCATGGCTGGATTTACACAGATATCTACATTGTTTATACTGTCCATTAGTTGGAAAACGTTATATCAAACATAGACAATGCCTCTATTCATCCATTGAGACGCAATATCGTGCCTGGTGATATGATTGCAACCTGATGATGCTGATCTGCATTTCTGCAATTCTGCAAGATCTACTGCGTAGTTCTGCATCAGCACACCGAGCTTATAAAAGGAAGAAGATCAGCCACGAGCGACACTCCGTTCAAATCTTTACTTCAGTCACTTCAATTTATATTGTTTTATATTGTTACCTAAAAGGTTCTTGATCTTCATGTAAAATGAAGTTATTTTTTGAAAATTGTTTTTCGAAAAGAAAAATATAAAATATATGTGCCGTGCTTCACGATCGACTATACATACTAATCTCAGTGTGGAGACTAGGGAGTTTATAAACATTGCGTTCGACAGAAATCTTGACAGTAGAGGAAGGTACAGATGATAATATATATGTTGTTCTGTTTATTTTTAGTTGTTTTGAATCGTTTTTCAACGTGCGATGCAAACTTTATTGTGATTATGTTGATTTCACTCATGTAAAATTAGTGGGCTCAAGAAATTATCGGATTTTGAGAAAGAAAATTGGATGATGATCTGTGTATTCTCAAATGTTTTTTTATCGAATACTTCTTAAAATGAACTAATGGGTAGAGTATGATCAAATATATATGCAAGTTTAACTTTTTCTGTCTTACTATGTATTAGGACAGGTTCGCTATCTAAACATTATTTTATTTTTTGTCAATGGCGAAGAAGGTTAGAGCCAACAAATATGGCGTCAGTCTCATATTGGACTTAAGAGTCGAATTTTCATAAATTTCTACCTTTCAGGGCGAATAGGGTTCGTTCAGAATCAAATTTTAATAGGAAGTATTCCCAACAACATATAATTTCCAGAAGTTAAAAAAAATTCCAATACCTACCTCCTATCCCTATCCTCCCTAGGAACGCACGATGTTCTTTGAACATTAAAGGGATTCCCTTTCGTGCGCTCCAAGTGATAAAAAATAATAAAAAAAAGCTATTTATTTCTGACTATAATATCACCGAGTATATATTATCAGAGTAGCAGTCTTTGTATCAGTCAACCTGATGGAATAATGTTATTTATGGCTAATCAGAAATATGACCAGTACTCAATTGTGAATTTATGAATTAATGAATAACTAATATTTCGGAAGTTCCTAATCGAATTTCACATGGCAACTGTGCTATATGGTTTGCCCCTATACTAACGAAATCGTGGCGGTAAATATTTCTATCCGTTTGAAAATAAACCGTGGCATTATTGATGTCATTGATGATTTCAATACTTAAAAGTCGAACAAAAAAGTCTTGAAGAATATGAAATCGAAACGTATTCGAGTGATAATTCCAGTCAAGAAATAAAAACAAATCAGAGTCCACCCGCCATTCTAATAAGTTTTTTGTATGTAAATTGCATTATTTGGTATAACGTGGTAGGTATTACCTATGGTATTACCCTTTTTGTCTATTGATGATTTCGTCTAATTTGTGCATTGTTGCGCCATCTAGCAGTAAACTGCAAGACTATCATTGTAGGAGTGGTTGTATACCCTACAGGTATGATTGATCGTTATTGGATGTTCATTCTCTTGTGCCATTTCACCAAAAGTTAGACTGTGATGAAATTGTATGGGAAATGAATTTCTGAAGACTTTCCAAATCTAAATAGTGAATCCTCTTGGTATTGCAATTACGAAAACTATTTGTTTCTGTGACTTGGTCATCTCACAGAGGCGTGTCACGAGCAGGGGTTCTACAAACATTGTGAATAGACATTTCCTTCCGTGCGTTCAATAACTGTTGATGATCATGAAAAATATCGAATTGGTGTTTCATCGTTGTCATCGTCGCCAGTCGTTTATTAATGCTATCCCAGGTAACAAGCTGACGTCATTTGTACGTCAATATATGGTCATTTATGGTCATTGACGTCATATGACCTCAAAATGACGTCATTTTGACGTACTTAATATGACGTTATATAGACGTCCTTGATATGTCGTCATTATGACGTCATCTGATGGTCATTTTCATGACTAATTATGACCATCATTTATTGAGTCATCTACATCAAGGAAAATCCATAATCAAAAAGTTTTCCATCTCTGTTATATGAAAACGTTAGTAGTTATGTTATATAAAATATATTATTATGTCACTCATCATATATTATGCTTCATAATAATTTTTCCTTTAATCTGTGCGAGATGTGTGTTTTCGATGGTCTCTGAGATAATTGTTAATTATATACCTTCTGTGCATAGTATTCTCCCTATAGCTATTAAAAATATAAGACCGAATGTCACGTCAAAAAAAGCTTATAACGTTGTTATTCCGGAATGCGAATTCAAATCAGAGCGGGAGAGTGCGTAGAGAACTGTATTTGATTGGTCGGCGCACGGACCTTGCGCAGACATGCGAACGTCGACCGCCAGCGCCAACCCACAGCCGTATTCAGAAGACGGCTGTGGCCAAGCCGTTCATTTTCGCTTCGCCGTTGCGGCCATGATGACCATAACAACAAAATAACAATACACAGAAGGCCATCATTATCATGTTATTCGGCTATCTATGTGGTGTGGTGTGGTGGTCATACTCATTCATATTCATATATCAAGTAGTAGAATTTGAGGATGGCAGCATGGTCATTATTTTAGACAAGTGGTGTATGCCGAAAAAGCAGAATGTGAATTGGACGCCATTGAAGGAATACCATAGGGTTCTGAGAAATCTCTTGAGTGCATCATCCGAATGGGATAAGTTCCCAATAAAAAGAACATTTGATGAAACTGGTATTTATAGTACCTACCTATAATATTATTTTGCATTTAATGTGGTAAAGGAACATCAATATAATTATACAAAAAAAATCTCATCTTTTCTGATAATCTTGATACAACCCTAATGCAACAGTGTTTTTTTTACCTACAGAAAATTTCGAAATAGCACAAAATAAACTGAAACATGCAGAAGATTTCAGTGATATAAATAATCGTGAAGATCACGTCACTTTGACGCCATGAGGATGTCGTCATTTTGACGTCATTAGGATGACGTCATTTTGACGACATGAAAATGACGTCATTCGTCTTTGACTCAGAAGGTCTTATAAACGTCATTATGACGTCATTTCGGAAGTCATCCTGACGTCAGGCCTGACGTGATAATGACGTACAAATGACGTCAGCTTGTTACCTGGGATCTTCATCAGTGTTGTTCTTGTCATTACTTCTGTAATAGATCAATTAGGTACTATTTCACGAAAGTTGTTACGTTATTACGATTTGTCATGGATCTATCACTATTTGTTGTTAGCTCCAGAATATGATCTATTTCTGTGTGCAGCGAATGATCTTATATGTTCTGCTCTATGAGTCTATGTCACAGTCTATGTTCTATACTCATGTCATAAATTCTGTGGTACTTTTGCCTCATTTTTGTCATAAATGTCTAATCCGTGCGATAGTTCGAAGAGAATTACATTTGGAATGTCAGACTTCTCCAATCTCTTAACTTTTGATTCAAATCTGTTACCTTTTTTCAAGGAAATCTGGTACGAAAAAATCAGACCTATAGGAACAACACTGATCTTCATCACTTTCTAGAAAGCAATATATAGTATAGTTCACCTCATGGGTCGTTTGGAAGCCTTCAAACCAATTTGGTTCTTTTTCCTT